GTGTTCCTTGCCACGAGAAGGTTGCACAATGTATTACAGAAATAAAGCTAAGTCCTGTCAAATATGATCTTCAAAAACTTACAATATGCCTCCAGCAGGTGACAATACACCTGCACAAATACCTTTGGGCATACAACTGAATTTGTGCACATTTTCTAACCCAATTGTGCTAGCTTTAGGCTTGGAAAAGCTTTAGTAGTTTTATTCTTAGTACTGCCCTAAATACAATGTTTCCATTTTGAAAATATTGTTAAAAAGTAGGAAGTAACATTTTCACTTCTGCAGTGGGATTCCCTCCATGTTTAACTAAAGACACATCAGTGGGTTCTCCTTCCACTCTTTCTTGGACCTACCCGGTGATGTACTCTCTACGGTAGTTCATACATAAATAGCACAACACCATGGACTAACACCCACCAACTTTGTTGCTCCCACCCAGTTTTTATCACTCAAGTAGTCAGCTTGGCAAACACTGATTCAGCAATCCCTAGTTCCCTTGTAGGAAAAGGGCCATCACCCTCAGTATTTCTCAAGAAGAGAATCAACTGGTGGTTTAATGCGACTGTGAGTCACAGAGATGCTAATCCTAGCCCAGGCCCTGACTCATTCTGTGACCCTTGCCCTACACTCTCCACCGATGCGGTTCCCAAGATATTAGGGTATATTCCTTTATTTACCTGTCCTTTATTTAATGAGCTACGTTTAGAGATTATTTGCAAATTAGCTCAAGCTGTGGGACCTAAAGTGGTAGCAACTATGTGACACATTCAGAAACCCAAAATAGTTGTTCGTCCAAATAGTTTTTCAGTGCTTAACCATTTACCAGAGAAAGTGTTCAAATTTAGAAATTAGGCAAATGTCAAAGCATACAAGAATCATTTCTGGCTGGTCACCTTTATCTCCTGCCTTTCACAGATGTGTGTGCTGAAGCCCAGATTTAAATGACCTGCCGAAGGAGACCCTGTAATGCTTAACTCTGCACCATCCAACAGAAATACAACGCAAGCCACAAATGTGAACCACAAATATAATTTAAAATTTTTAATTATAGTTAATTATAACTTTCTAGTAAAGTTTTTTAAAAAATGAAATTAACTTTAAAGACATATTTCATTTAGACTAATACATTCAGAATGTTATTTCAACATGTAGTCAACTTTTTAAAATTATTCCCTAAGGACCACACAACTTTTTTAAGACAGTCAGAGCACCATTCTGACTTATTCTTTTATTCCCTCGCGATCCTTTTTAAAAAGAATCTCATCTTTCTACATAACTTCTCCTCTCCATCCCATTCTACTACTTCATTATGATTAAATTCCTTTGAAATTCACTTTGAAAAACTCATTTTCTGTTTACTTGAGAGCCTGAGTATGTCTAGGAAAATTATCAGTAGGAATTTTCCTATTACTTGCAAATTATCTGTAATTCCTAACATTTCTGCCTCCCTGAAAGCATTCTCAACAGGAACTAGCTGCAGAACCAGCATCTGTGACCTCATGCTGGTGACTTCAGTTGGTGACCTCATGAGGAAAACTAAGAAAACTGTTCACTTTCATTCCTCCTATGAGGTTGATCTATGTGAACACGAGGTTCATTCTCAACAATATCATACCTTGAATGATGTCTCCTTGGATCCTTAAACAGAGTAAGGCATGATTCCAAGTTTAGAGATTTCCAATGATGAATATTTTAACTGAGTAGAATTACAATGCACCCAGATGTCCACAGAAAGTTAGGTGGTAAGTGGATCAGACCTAGGAAGGATACCCCTTCACCTCTACTCACCAAGACAGATCACATTCCTGGAACTGCCGAGTTCACAAGAGATAGTTGGAGGGCTACAGAGGCCATAGAAAGCTATTCAATGTACAACAGGGCCATAGTTCAAATTTTTCTTGGCACTACCTTTTTCTTTAGACAAATAGTGAATATAACTAAAATAGAACATAAGCAAAACTGTGAAATCTACAGACCTGGACTCCATGCCACAAGAAGTCATTTTCTCACTTACAAACCACTGTCTAATATGTATTACAGATAAGAAGCTGGAATCAAGCTGAAGGTCAACAAGTCCATGGCAGCAAAAAAAGGGGAACTTGGGAGAAGGCTTTCAAAAAATGAGAAGGAGGCAGAACAATATGTGTCTCAGAGAAGAAACCATCTCAGTGGCCAACAGAAGTGTTTGTATGTGTGTGTTTGGAAAAGGAAGAGAATGTATTAAAACATTTTTTTAATCACGCTGGGACCCACCAGCTCTACAAGACAGGGTGTGGGATGCCAGGAAAGAGGCATGCGTCAAGCTACCATGGACTCTCGGAAAGGTATGTTAGGTGGAGGACAACTGGATTCTCCTCACAGTTCTGTCTTTAAGGGGTCATATGATCATGTAGCTGATCTTCATTTGCAGAATCTAATCAATTTTACATACCTTTAATGTCCAATACTGCAAAATTATGAACAGAAGCATAGAGATGCCTTGGAAAAAGAAAAGTTTGTGGGACAGAAGTGGGGTGATTGGCAGGAAAGAAACTAAATATTAATACCCTCCCACGTGTTTCCAACCACACCACCTCCTTCTAGAGAGTAAATTTTCTCTTCCTCCGGCTCCCAGCTAGATCTTGGCAAAGTTTAGGGCAAAAAAATCCCCCTGCCCCCTCAATTCACATCCAGCTACATTTGCTATCACCAAGGAGATCTTGGAAACAGAAAGATAAGAAGACTAGGAGGCACTGTTAGGCAGGGAAGTCCATGTTAATGCAGTAACAAAGCGCTTGTTCCTATGGGCTCCTCCCACCCGTTCCCAATTACTTCATGCCCAACCCTGTCTATTTACAGAGTCACTCTGATTATGAAAGCATCAAATATTGGACATAAAATGTAAATATATTTTATTTTCCATAAAATTTCAACTTCATAATCTTTAAATCTACAGTCGACACCAAATGCAATAACCACTAACCAATCAGGATGAAATCTACTTTTTGGTCATCAGCATTAGCTCCCAAGATAAATTTACCCAGCTCTGGTCCTTGAAGAGAGAAAGTTTGCCTTAATCCTAGGGGTCCCCAAGAAACAACATAAAGCATTAGAACTTCAAATAATATCTGTAGTCTGAGAAGCCCAAAACACCATATGATTAAAATATGCTTCTATTTATTTGCTATCATAATATGAATTCCCCTTCTCTGTGGTGCTGCTGACTTTATCCTAACATCTGTCCTGTTTTGAAATACAGTGTATGCCCACTAATAGAAACTATGGAAAGGTTTGAAGGAAGCCTTGTTGTTTCATAAGATTTGTGGCCGCAAAAGTTAAACATTTAACCTGGCAGGAACTCAAAGTCCAGGCTGCCTCTAGTTTTCAGCAAATTGTGTTCTAAAAGTATGTAGATTGGTGTTTTAAACCTGGATACAAATTGTAGTAGAAACATGCTGTGAATGGTGGTCAGGTTCCTTTGCTAGACTACAATGCCCACTGTAGCTGGCACACTATAATAAACCTGGCTGGAAAGAATATTCTTTTTAAAATTCTGTACAGTGATTCAGCTCTGCATATGGCCCTGCTTTCAACTGCTTCTTAGAACACTGGAATAAACCTTCATCCATTCAGGCTCCGTATATTAATTCAGTATAAACTATGATAAAGAATAGCTGAAGTCTTTCATCTGATATGGGAACTGTCATGTATTTTTTTAAAGATTTTATTTATTTATTTGAGACCAAGAGAGAGAGAGACCACAAGTAGGTAGACAGGCAGGCAGGCAGAGGGAGAGGGAGAAGCAGGCTCCCTGCTGAGCACGGATCCTGATGCGGGGCTCAAACCCAGGACACTGGGATCATGACCTGAACCGAAGGCAGACACTTAACCGACTGAGCCACCCAGGCGCTCCACTGTCATGTATTTTATTTTTAAAATATCCAAAACTCAGGGTGCCTGGGTAGTGCAGTCAATTGAGTGTCCGACTCCTGGTTTCAGCTCAGGTCATGATCATGGGATTGAACCCCACATCAGGCTCTACACTCAGCACAATCTGCTTAAAGACTCTTCCCCCCTCTCCCACTACCCCCTCCCTTTCTCTCAAATAAAGAAATCTTTAATAAATGAATGAATGAAAGAATGAATCCAAAATTCTTCAGACTCAGATCTAATAAACCAATTAATCTGAGTGATTTGGTTTGGGTTCAAGGATAAGATGCAATCATCAGACATTTTAGTGATTTTCCCAGAAACTGTTCAGCAGATAGTATCAAAACAGGAGTTTCAGAACTTAGCAATTATACCATTATGCTATATATTACGGTCACTATTAAGAAAAGGTAATGTTTATTTGAATTTAGAACCTGGATGCTTTTAGGTTTTATTTTTTATAGTCACATCTCATCTACTATAAGAATATCTAAATAACTTGTTTAAACATCTACATTTTAAAGATGTAATAAGATAACCAATCCTAAGAATTCCATGACCTAAAATACTAAGTTGCCTAACCAGCTCCCTCACACTCAACAGAAGATAACAGATTCACCCCATATGTTAGCTCCCAATCACCAACTCCACATATCTCTTTCCTAAGAGAACAAGGAATTAGGAAGGGTTTTCAAAGACGACAGATTGCTCAGGAGTATGAGTGTGCCCAAAACACACACTTAGGTGTAAACTGATCTTACAAATTAAAAGGAGAGGGACTAAAATACTCTGACTTGTCCTGAATAAAAAACTAAGTATCCTTTTTTGTGTGTAACTTACCATTACAAAATGGATAGAAAAAAAAAAAAAAGCTGCTCTAACTCCAAACACAAAATACAGACATGAGTTTGTTATACTTTGTTCCTAGAGGCAAAAAGCAAAAAATGAATAAAATAATCAATATTTTCAAACTTTTAAGGATTTAACTTACAGAAGCTTTCTTCTTGGGTGATTATTATTCCAATATCAAAGTATTACTATTTCTATTATCAACTCCCTCCTTTGGATCAGAGTAAGTACCACCCACTTACCACTTTTTTTGTGATAAAGATGCTTCTTATATTATATTTCTAATTAACAGTGGTCCCTCTGAGAGAAGAAATTCCTTATCTGCATGAAGCCCTAGACAAACAGATAAAACAAATTTAGGGTTATTAAATTTACCATGATGGTTATATTTGCAAGTGTGCCTTGAAAATGAAGAGTGGCCAAATTTAAAGACTCCTCCAGCCAAAGACATAGCAATTCAGACAGAACTGAAATAGCTGGTATATTTCTAACTCTAAAAATGAACAGATTTAACTTGCTATTGCAAATTTAAAATTCAATACTACAGGATAGTTGGAGATTTCAATACACTACTTTCAATAATGGGTAGGACAAATAGGCAGAAGATCAACAAAAACAGAGAAGACTTGAATCACACCACAAAACAACTAGGTATAATAGACATCTATAAAACATTCCACCAAACAATGGCAGAAAATATATTCTTCTCAAATACATATGGAGCATTCTCCAGGGCAGAACATATGCTAGGCCATAAAACAAACCTTGATACAAAGTATGTTCTCCAACACAATAGAATGAAATTAGAAATAAATAACAAAAAGAAATTTGGGGAAACTCACAAATACACAGAAAATAAACAACATACTCCTCGCCAACAAATGGGTCAAAGAAGAAATCAAATGAGGAATTTGAAAATATTTTGAGATGAATTAAAAAAATGAAGATATAACATACAAAAACATATGGGATTTGGGGGGAAAAAAGTGCTTAGAGAGAAATCTATGGCTGTAAATACCTGTATTAAAAAAAGAGACAGAAAGATCTCAAATCAATAACCAAACCTTCAACCTTAAGATATTAGAAAAAGAAGGGCGCCTGGGTGGCTCAGTTGGTTAAGCGTCTGCCCTCAGCTCAGGTCATGATCCCAGGGTCATAGGATCGAGCCCCTCATCAGGCGTCCTATTCAGCAGAGAGCCGCCTTCTCTCTCTCCTTCTGCTGCTCCCCCTGCTTGTTCTTGCTCTCTCTCTCTGTCAAATAAAATCTTAAAAAAAAAAAAAGACAGTAGAAAAAGAAGAGCAAATTAAACCTAAAGCAAGAAAAAGGAAGGAAATAATAAAGATTAGCATGGAAATAAATAAAATATAGAATAAAAAATAGAAAAAAGCCAATGAAACTAAAAGTGGGTACTTTGAAAAATCAACAAAATTAACAAATTGTTAACTAGATAGATCAACAAAAAAAGAAAGAATACTCAAATTACTACATTCAGAAGTGAAAGATGAATTACTAACAACCTACAGAAATAAAAGGGATTGTAAAGGAATATCATAAAACAATTATATGCCAATAAATTCGATAATTTAAACAAAAGGAACAAATTCCTAGAAAATTACAAATTACAAAAATGATTCAAGAAGAAATATACAACCTGAATAGATCCGTAACAAATAAAGAGATTGATTTAGTAATCAAAAAACTACCCACAAGTTAAAACCTAGGCCCAGCTGGCTCCACCAATAAATTCTTCCAAACATTTTACAAAAAATTAATACCATTCCTCACAAACCCTTCAGAAAACAGAAAAGGAAGGAACACTTCCCAACTCTTTTTATGAGGACAGTATAACCCTGGTGGCAAAACCAGACAAAGACATCACAAGAAAAGAAACTACAGATCAGTTTTCTTCTGAATGTGGATGCAAAAATCCTCAGCAAAATAGCAAACTAAACCCAGCAACACATACCAAATGAGATTTATCCCAGGAATCCAATGTTGGATTAACATCTGAAAATCAAGTAATGTAATATGCCATATTAACAGAATAAAAGAATAAAACTCCATGATACTTTCAATATACGCAGAAAAAGCATTTGACAAAATCCAATACCCTTTAATGATAAAAATATCCATCTAAATAAGAATAGAACTTCCTCAATCTGATAAAGAGCCTCTACGAAAAACCGACAACTGGCATCATACTTAATTATGAAAGACTGGATGTTTTCCCTAATAGCAGGAACAAAGCAAGGACACTATCAAAAAAAATGAAAATATAACCTGCTGAATGCGAGAAAATATTTGAAAGTCACTTACCTGATTAAAAAAAGAGAGAGACTTGCATCTAGAATATATATAACAAACTCCTGCAACTTAGTAATAAAAGACAACCTAATTTAAAAAGAGCGTCATGAGGGGATAGGCGAAACAGAGAAGGGGACTAAGAGGTACAAACTTCCAGTTAGAAAATAAATAAGTGATGGGGATTAAAAAGTACAGCATAGAGAATATAGTAAATAATACTGTAATAACTTTGTGTGGTGACAGATGGTAACTATATTTCCCATGGCATGCATTTTGTAATGTATATAATAATTACAAAATCACTATGTTGTCCATCTGAAACTAGTATTATATGTCAACTATACTTAAATTAAATTTTTTAAGCGGGCAAGGGATCTGAACAGACATTTTCCAAAAATGATATATAAATTGCCAGTAAAGCTTAAAAAAAGGAAAAGAAAAGGTGGTGAACTCTATTGTTCATTAAATCCAGGTAATCTACTAGTACAAAGTCCAAAATTGCCCACATACTCTGTGGTATTAATTAAAAGTAGATACAAAGATAAATGAGGACTTGACCCCCAAGACTCATGAATATCAAAGAAGAACAGGAAAGGAAAGAAAAACCTGAGGATAAAATCATTTTGGGGCCTGTAAAGATCCGTAGCCATCAAATCCATCCTCTTCATTTTACCCACAAGAAAACTGAAGCCCAGGGACATTGAGCATCTGATTCAGGATCATGCACCTAATTGCTGACCAATCATCCCAATGCCTGGGCCTGGCACAGACAGGAAGAAAGGACTGGGAGAAAGAAAGGGGATTCCCAGTACCAAAACTGGGTAAGTCCTGGGCAAACCTCAACAAGTTGGCAGTGGCAATCAGAGTCCACAGTAGCTCCTGACTCCCAAACCTAATGTTCTTTCTTCAAGGTCACATTCTCAGAGAGAAAGCTCTCCACTTTGAAGGAACTTCTGAGCCTACTTTCCAAAGACTACCCTCTGGATGAGAATTTTTCACAATCCAAATTAGACAGTGAGTTAATTTTATTACATGAATAAATACTTGTATTTCAAGACCTAGCATTATTTTTGGCCATGAGTCAATCGTTTTACCAAGATATTTAATGTAAATTGAACATATCGCTTTTCTTCTCATCCCAGTGAGATTTAAGTTTTCATATGTCTGGAACTGATGTTCACTTTAGCAAGCTGCTGTGGAATAGGCGTGTCGTCTTCGGAGTCTTTGTTATCACTGATATTATCCACACTAAAAACACAGATACATAAACAAAACTGTTTTGAGTGACTAATCCACTGGCTTCCTTAAAAGCTGCTGTTATTCTATCACAGGTGCAAAGATATTTATATGGAATTAATTTCTTTTTGCTCACCTTAACCAAACACCCATAATAATAATATAATGCCCATTAACTATATGGAATCAAATCTGCAAGGAAGCAAAATAAAGCCCTTCATAGCCTAAGACTATGTAGGGCTTCTTAACTGAAGTCTATGAACAGAGTGCGGAGTATGTAGAGGTAATGGAGCACATGAAATAGTATATCAAAATTTTCATGTGTGCTTTGTAATGGGGAGAGAAGCTCTAGCATTTGTTACATTCTCAAAGGGGTCACTGAATCCAAAAATGGTTACAAAGTTTAGCCTTAAATCTTTCCTGGATCAAGATTATCTCATACTCCTTGTACAGGACACAAAAGGAGAATTAAGCGATTAAGCTTGACCCAGTGGGGAAGCCCTTGATTAGTTCTCCAGAGACTACAGAGAGATGAACACACTGAGTAAGAAAATGGATTGTGATTAAAAGTACTGAGAGAGAGAAGAGAAACAAAACAGAAGCTTAAAACCATTTCTAATACATAAGGGAAAAAATTAGAGTGAAGGAAAAAAGATTATTATAAAGTTACTATCAAGGAGTTTGTCTACCTTCAGTGATTGAGACAGACAATTGGGACTACCATGAAAGCTAATTAGGAAAAACATAAATGTCCCAAAGCACAATAATGAATCGTTAATACCTGACAGATTTTATCTAAGAAACCACGACAAGTGATTTCTCTTTATCACTTGAACCTTTAACTCTCACTCTTGGAAAAACACATTACAGTAATGAGATAAGCCACCTCCTTTTCCTAACAGTCTTGAGAAGGCAAGTTGGAAAGCTTTAAATCTCAGGAGGAATTGAAGCAGGCAATAATCTATTCTTCCCAGACTAGCCTTTGTATGATTATGCCCAGGGGCAAGGGCAGAGCTAGCAGATGATCAAATTGTCCTTCAGACTTTTATTTTCCAAGTGACTGGTATGAAAAAGAATCAGTCAGGGCACCTGGGTGGCTCAGGCAATTAAGCATCTGCCTTTGGCTCAGGTCATGATCCCAGGGTTCTGGGATCAAGCCCCATATCAGGCTCCCTGCTCAGTGGGGAGCCTGCTTCTCCCTCTCCCTCTGCCCCCCACTCAGGCTTGCTCTCTCTAGTGCTCTCTCTCTCTCTCTCTCAAATAAACAAATAAAATCTTAAAAAAAAAAAAGAATCAGTCTACCATATTCTCATCAAGTCCTCTTGTGTCATCGAACATCTAAATACAGATTGAATATCTGAGTTACAACACAGCAAATGCACTAAAGAATATTAATCACAGCCAAACAATTGATTTTGGATAAATAAATATTACAAGTTTAACACTAATATGAGTCATTTTTGCAAGAGAAGAAAGAAAAACATTGGTTTCCAATCAATAAATGTGATCTAGTAATGATGAATTTCTGAATATTTGACAAACCAGACTTAATTTTTGTTCCAAGGCCTTCTTTCATCTCTATTTTTTTCATTTGCTTGTTTTCATAAACCAGTAGTTTCAATTAAGGATTTTGCAGCATACATTTCCTAAAATATATGCATAAACAGTGTATCACCAATGACTGCGTGAATATGTTCACCACACTTCCACAGTAAAATTATTTACAACTCTTTACAACAGTTACAAAGGAAAACATAAAATTCTGTTATAAATCTTGGCTTATTCAGTGCAGTGTTGATGTAAATGTAATTTTCTAGAGGCAGATATTCTGTCTTGAAAGTAATTTATGCCCAGTCTAATTGCATGCATACCCAGGCACTTAACATTATTCACTGAGATATACTATTATAATGATGCTGGCTTATTGATATTTGAATGCTTTTTAAGCTGATGGTTTTCTATACTAGTGGTTGGAAATTTCAATGAGAACAAGCTCAATAAAGTTAACTAACCATTACTGGGATATTTCTATGTGTCGAATTTGTTAAATGCCATCAAGTTTATAAAAGCAATATACAATATTTTATATGCTTTCTAGTAGTTTGAAAGATCATTGAAAATGCAGAGCAAACACAGGAAACAACTGGAAAACAACACAAACCAGTAAATGACTAAATGCCAAATGTGAAATGAAATCAGCAAATGCTGAAGAATTCAGAGCAGAAAGACATCTCATAAGCCAACGACGTTGAAGAAAAGTCTCAGGGAAGAGGTCAGATGAGAATTGGCCTTTAAAAAATATGATTTAGAAATCTTAAAACAGAACCCAGACAAGGAAATGGAATTAGTAGATCCAGGCATGGAGCTAGTGCACAGGAGGGACTGTGACCAAAAGTAACAGACTCCATTCCAGTGGATGAGAATATCCAGCTACAGGGCCACCAGGAAACAGAGGAATACAATGGGAACAACTGTTAGGAATATAAGATAAAACCTAATAAATGAGACTTGAAAGGGGCTCTAATTCTCAGTGTGTAAGGCATCATAAAATACTCCCTTGTTTAATACCAAGAAAATCTCTTTATTGAAATTCCATTTTAAAGTGGACTATTTGTCTGAGAAAGATAAATACCATATGATTTCACTCACATGTGGAATTTAAAAAACAAAACAAAAAAAGAAAAAAAAGAGACTAAAAAAAAAAAGACGCTTAAATA